AAGAGCGGTCCTCGCGACCGGCACGACCGATTTGTCTAATCACTTAGGCATTCCGGGGGAAGACACGCATCCCGACTGGGTGACGCATGATCTCAATGATCTTGAAACGCGATTGGGACGTTTGGTCAATGAACGTGGTATGTAATCACAAGATTATAGATTATCTCGTTTTTCACGATTACAATCGATTTATTTATCCGCGAATTATATAATTCATTTTCGATTTGTTGTCTCATTTGAAAAATTATTAATTGTAGGTTCAACCGACGAGCAGATGCAATCGGTGTTAGTAGTTGGAGCTGGTCTTAGTGCGGCCGACGCGATTATGGCCGCACGTTTTCGAGGGATACCAGTGTTGCATGCGTTCCGCAATTCATCGAGCGAATGGGGCAAAGAAACCGCCGAGAGAATAACTACTAGTTACGATCGACTGCAATGGCTGCCGAATTCCATATATCCGGAATATCACAAGATATACCAGATGATGGCTGACGGAGGTACAAATTATCCTTTGTACAAATCACTGCCGGGATACACGCTCGTCAGTCTCGGCGAGAGTCGCGAGGACGAAAACATGAATACAAGAAGGACAGTTACCTTTTCCGCTCCGGACGGTCAACTGCACACGTTCGAAGTATCTATTGCGGCTATACTTATCGGTAAGCACATATAAGATATCCCAACAGAAACTGGACACCTAATTATTTCTTTATTTCTGACAATATGGAAAAACCTTATAAACGCAATTTAAATGGTTTCGAAGAGCGTATATAGTGCAAGGAAATTTTTTTGTCTAAAGTCATGTTTTTCAGAGTTTTCAGCGTCCTCATTGTCTTTTTTAAATGAAAAAATCAGTCTTTTCTTGCATATCATAGTTAACATTAATATATATTGAACCATGAATAATGATATAACTTTGAAATGATTTTGGAGTTAAAACATATTAAAATGCTAAATTACTTTTTATTATTGTTATTATAAATGATTATATATAATTAATTATAAGTAAATCAGAAAACTCTTTCTGGATAAAAGTAAGAGATGAAATGGGCAAATTGTTGAAAACATTGGGCAGCAGAAAATTTAAGGGAGGAAGTGGGTAAAGAGATCATCTTTTCTATATGGTAGTAGAGCTTTTATAGATTTAGAACTATCGATACAAGATATAATGTTGCATTAATGAAAAGATTATGGTGTCCACAAAATGTATTGAATAATTTCATTTTAGGATATAAACCAGATTTATCTTACTTGGAAGGTAACGGTGTAGGATTGGGTAAGCTCGCGGACAAGCTGATTGATAGTAAGTCGAATCCGATTGAAATTGATGATTTCACATACGAGGTGACCAAGGCGCCGACAAAGGGATTTTACGCTCTGGGACCTCTAACCGGTAACAACTTTGTTCGCTTTGTTCTGGGCGGTGCGCTTGGAATTCTTGCACATATCCTGTGCACCACAACATCTGAGAAATCTGTCAGCCGTTCATGCGAACCGATCGTGTCTTAGCAAAGTTGTTTTATATACAAGCGTATTGAAACAATTGTGTGATTTCTACTGCTCAATTCGTGTGAATGCTGAAAAACTTAATTTACACACAGTTCTAAATATTTAGAAGATTAATTTAGGTAAATCGGTTTATACAGATACTGTTAAAATTATTTTTGTATAATATTTTTTTGCATATGTTAGTCCTTCATAAGAAAATTTAATCGATATTTAAGTGTATATATCATAACTATTTAATTGTTTCATCGAAATATCTCATAGATCAAGATAAAGAACAAATAGGTCAATGTTTATTTGTTGGATAGCATACAATGTAAAAAAAGATAACAATTTAGATGCTATCTTATTGTTAAATCTGTTTTAGATCCATTTGCGTTTCTTAACATTCCATTTGATAAGAGAATTATTTATAGAAAACAGGAACAACGATATAATTACATAATTCATCATCTACAATTCATTCTACAATTGAAAATTACGCACGATAGCCTTTGTACAAATATGCCACTCCTCTCCTCATAGAGTAAATGAAAATATAACCTGTATCATAACTAGTTTTATAAAAAATCGGATAACATACAACGAAACCCTTGACATACATTCTTTCCGAATTATTGAATATGTTTAGGATTATTCTTTTAATGAATAATTAAATTAAATATCTTTTTATGCACATCTACTTATACATACATTATATGTATTTTATGAATACTTTTAATCATTTTTATTTTTATGTGTGGAATTATATGTTCTTACCAGAGTAATCAAACTGTTGCATTAACATATAAGCGCGTTTCTACATTTTGCATTATTATTTTTAAAGAATTTGTGAATGAGAACAAATTTCGTAAAGTGAATCCAGTGATTATCGTATATTAATTTTTATGTAACATCTTTAATTTGCTGTAATATGCCTTTCTTATTAATAAGCTGTGATTACTCTTTAGTAGATTTAGGCTAATGCCCTATTATTAATTTGTATTATATTATTAATTGTTATTAATATGTATTTTATACATATTAATATGTATTTTATACATCTCAGTAATACCACCTCTATTTAGTACAAAATATTACCATTATTGTTATTACTTAATATTATTTTTATTACTCAATATTATTTCTTATTTTTTATTACTTAATAGTGCTTATTTATACTTAATTTACATGCTTATCTTGTTGTTTGCAGTTTATATGGTTTTGTTTACGATATGCGGTATATATACATATATTACATTAAGTTTATTTTATTTAACGATATATGTTAAAGAAAAAGAAAAACATTCTACTTTTTGTATCTTTATTATAATTTTTATATAGTGAATGATATTCCATTAAAATGCAGAAAATATTCTTTTTTCATATTACAAAAACGTACAATGTGTATAAATTAGTATGGTACATTATACATACTGTAATAAAAAGCCTAATGTATTTAACATAACAATGTTACAACAAATTTGTAATTAGGAGCAAAGCAAAGTGCTGCTATAGCGTACACAAAAGATGAAGTGAACATTGAGAAACCTGTTGATTTGTATAGCATAGTAACATATGCGTGAAATTTTTAGAAGTTTTATTGATACAAGAATTGTGTGTGATATACTGATTAGCTAAACAGTAAGACAGGGGGATAAAGCATATGTATAAATATAACGAAAATACTTATAATACACATCTGTGATAGGAGGTGCAATGTTCAAAAAGTTGCAATGAAATAGAAAAAATTAAATAGAACAAAACTTGAGCGTATTATATTTAGTTGTAAATATACATATTTTTACACATAAGAACTATCGATTTATATATATATAAGAAATGTGGTTCTGTTAAAAAAAAAGGAAAATAAGGATGATTGCGCCTGTTCCTTAGAGGATTTGATAGAGTACCTGTTTATCCTTGAAAAGGATCCCTACAGATCTTAAAATACCTATCCCTGATAATTTTCAAAAACAATCTGTAATATTTTATGTATGGACCATCCTATATATATGTATTATATATACAAAAAAAAATAAGTACCACATATATCTCTTAACCAGTCAGTTTTTTATTATCATGGAATGATCTTGTTTAACAATTGTGGACATCTACACAGTCTAGAACAGTTTACAATACAGATATAAAAAATCGTACTGCAGTATTTTCTATCGATATATCACATGTAAATAAAAATAAATTTATAACTTTCCACTATAAAAATATATAAAGCTAAGTATGAGGTAAATAAATTATTCTATTTATTATATAAGTTTATCTACAATCATTTTTAATATGCATTGTAAAAATTAAAAGTGGCTACTTAAAATATAATGATACTGTTTTAAAATTGGTTTATACAAATGGGGATTAATATTAATTAAAAAGATTAATGCCACATATATTTAAATCTTTCTAATAGATTAATTCGGAAATAGATAAAATAAACAGACATCTGCCATAATCCTTGAATACATTGTCTCCCTGTTGGTATAATATCTGAGAAAAGACTGCATATACTATCTTAATAAAAATAGTTTTCCATCATTACAACAGATTCTATAAAGATATAATTTTATGGAACACGATGATAAATACCAACAAGTGTATCAATATTTTTATATTTATTTTTTAATTATAAATACTTCTATGTCTTAAATATGATAAACACAAAGCTAAGCAATATAATAGCAGCCGCGAGAACAACGATGCAGTACAATTTTTTATTAGCCTTTTGATACGAGTCTGCTTTCTTTAATTGTTTATAACCCTCCTGTACTTGCACCTGTGTTTGCTCGATGTTATAGTCAATACGATCTAAAATAGTACCCTGATCCTCTACCATTATTGCAAGATCCTGCATAATAAAAACCCAGAATTTTATCCAAAACTTTATAAATCTTATTATTACTGGCAATAAATGAAATAAATGTCAAAAGAATATATTCAGATGAAAAAATATATTTGCGATATATGTTGCTTATATATTAAAATCATTATTATTATAAGTATTTATAATGATTTTGCATGTAATTTACCTTGAAAATGATCTGCCATAATCCTTGAATACATTGTCTCCCTGTTGGTATAATATCTGAGAAAAGACTGCATATACTATCTTAATAAAAATAGTTTTCCATCATTACAACAGATTCTATAAAGATATAATTTTATGGAACACGATGATAAATACCAACAAGTGTATCAATATTTTTATATTTATTTTTTAATTATAAATACTTCTATGTCTTAAATATGATAAACACAAAGCTAAGCAATATAATAGCAGCCGCGAGAACAACGATGCAGTACAATTTTTTATTAGCCTTTTGATACGAGTCTGCTTTCTTTAATTGTTTATAACCCTCCTGTACTTGCACCTGTGTTTGCTCGATGTTATAGTCAATACGATCTAAAATAGTACCCTGATCCTCTACCATTATTGCAAGATCCTGCATAATAAAAACCCAGAATTTTATCCAAAATTTTATAAATCTTATTATTACTGGCAATAAATGAAATAAATGTCAAAAGAATATATTCAGATGAAAAAATATATTTGCGATATATGTTGCTTATATATTAAAATCATTATTATTATAAGTATTTATAATGATTTTGCATGTAATTTACCTTGAAAATGTGTTTTAAGTCTGCTATACTTTGAACTATACTTCCAATTTGTTCTTCTCTTTCCAATGCTAATTTTACTCTATCTTCTGGTTCCTCCAACTGCAATAAAACCGAGTCCTGTCTTTGCTCATTTTTCTGCCAATAGTCAGCAGTTGCCTCATTTGATTCTGTCAACCAAGAATCGGTTGCTACATTATCTAAAAAAGACTGATCTTCTGCAAAGAACTGACTATTCCTCTCTTCTCTTGATTTCACCTCTGCAAGTATTCATAATAATTGAATATAATGCAAATAAAAAATATTGCAGTTTATTAAGATATTATTAAATATTCATTTTTATTAGCTACGCAAAGAGAACATACGTGTCAAGTAATGATTTTGTGCTGATCTATATCGAAGACCTAATTCTTGTAAAGCAGTCGAAAGGGCCATTACTGCGCTAACAGCTAGCCGACGTTCAGCAGGCTTAGTTTCATGCCTGCCAGCTGACTTAATTGTTTGTACTTGTCTATAGCCATTAGAGAATGCACGTCCAATCTCTCGTGTCAATTGTTCCATTTGTCTTTCTTCCTATATGTATAATGTTATACTTTATAAACTATTGCATTATATAATTATTATACAAGAGAAAAAAGTTTTTCGCTTGGCATTGATACATTTATTTTTTTACAAGACAGTGATAGAAGGGTTCTTCTAAATCCAACTAGCAGTGTTATTTATGACTGATAATCCTGGCAATTCAAACAAACCTGACACGTATCGTCCAAGGTGGGCCTGGTGAGCTGCTTGGAGTGCAGCTCGACCAGGCTATCTATTTTCACACGTAATTTGTTCAAGATGTACTGTGTCTCTTCCAAAGCGTCCACCCAGACAGGCGGCGCACCGCTGTCCGCGCTCACACCTTTCAGTTCGACATTATCGGATCCACCGGAGTCTGATTCCACCAGTGCCACTCGATCAGTAAGATTCTGAAGAAATATATCGAATGACTCATGTGAAAAATCACAAAACGCAGACAGTACGATTTTTGCACAGGTGTGGAACAGGTTAAGTAAGTACGCACCTGTTCGGCGTAGATATGCCTGGTCTGCAAAGCATTATTTCGCATCAGAACGAAGGGCTCGGTCAAATTCCTCGTAGCCATTCTTTAGCAACAATTATTTTTCTCTATTGTAACACACACAGATATAAACACGGTCCCGTAACTATTACATCGCGAGTCGCGTCATGCAACGCACTGGATCAGCTGTCATCTTGAAACAGCTGATCAGCAGGCCTACTCTTTCCGTCTCTTTTTACTTTTCGTATGTTCCCAGAGTGTTTGGTAGTACTGAAAAATCATTCATATTCATATACGTATACTCTTTCATTCATATTATATCACCAGTTAAAACGAAATACTTATTATTATTCTGCACTTTTTGTATTAAAATAAAATGTGAGATATATATAATTGTTCGGAAAAGAGAAGAAAGATTCAGGAGTGTAGTTAAATATGGAAATTCTACATAGGATGTCAGAAATACTTTTCTATATAAATGTTATATTAAGCACACATTTTTTAACAGAATATGTCTAAAGGAAGACATTTCTAACACCTAGTATGCACGTGGAGTGTGAAATTCAATATATTTTTATTGCTTGATTTAATACATTGTATGAGCTATTATTTTTAACGTATTTTTCAAGATATTTTGTATATATGAAAAATACCTCTCCTAATGATTTTTTTTTTTTACAGAAATAATTTTCAAGATATGATCTTGTTCAATTATTTGTAATACACAATTATCAATTGTAAAATCATCAATCTTGTGGAATATACAGATCCACGCAGTATGTGTTACGGTATTAACAAAATTATTTAATTTCTTAACAATTTGAAGAAATATGTACAATATATAATTTTATACATACATATGTAAATAGAAAAACATTTCAGCATATGTTACATAGTGATGAAAAATGAAGTATCTTTACATAAATAATTACAGAATTTTTTCTATGAAGACATGAATAAGTAATCACAGAGTTCTCCTTCATAATTAAATAACTAATTATTATTACATCTCCTTAACCATGAATGTCTTATAATATTTTAAAAAAATTTTGCATAAAAATATTCATGCTTGACACGATGATATTGAATTAAATATATGCGGTACTTGAAAAATTCCGAGTTTGAAAATTTGAAATTATATGACTTAAAAAATTCTCTGTTTAAAAATTTTAATAAGATGTGTATCCATAGTACAGTTTTAAATACTAAAATTATTTTATATTCTAAGTCGGTGTATCACATAACTTGTTTTTAGTTTCAATCACTAATGGCCTAGTATTGTAAAGACTGCCTAATATGACTTGTCTCTTGATCATATCCAATGTCTCTTGCCCTTTTACGTAACACTGCCTAATCTGTTCCTTGTCAGTTAACATTTTGTTCTCCTTGAATTCATATCGTATCTTTCGCAGAGCATACATTCTGAAAAGTAGAAAGTAATTTATGTTTGTATATATATTGTTTACATCATATAAATTTTATATATATTGTTACATTATATATAAATTTGCATAATAAATGTTTCACAAGATTCATGTCACCATTATTTGAAAAAATAATTATTCTCCCTATATCCTCTTCTAACCTAAATTTACATAGCTGCAATAATATATTTTCATAGATATCCTTGAAACAGAACTGAATTGTATCTTCTTCTCCAAAATATTATTTAAAAAATGTCAAAAAAGCTGTGATTCACGTTCTTAAGTATTTAATATAAAGGTTATCGAGTAACAATATATGTAATTAATATATTACCTGTAATTGTATGAGCTCCATTTTTTGCTTTCTCGAATTAAATTTCGATAAAGGTTCAAAATCGCACTTCGATTAGGAATCATTATTTATCAAAAACAAGATCTATACTTTGTATTAATTTAAATAAAACTGTCCGGCAAACCACGCAATCTGATGCAAATTTGATGCGGTTGTAGTTGTAAACTGTGGCACATGGTTATATCGAGGCATCGATGTGTAGTTTGATAATTCCGATATATCTATATCTATGCCAATCGTAACTTCTCGCTAATATCATTAATAGAATATTATTCGAAATATCAGCGTGCAATCAAATAAAATTATTTCTTAATTAAAAGCTCTATCTGTTTTATTGTGTTTTATGTAATATCAAATATCCGGCATTTTTGTACATAACCTCTGCATATTTTATTTGCTTATAATAGTGATTTGAATCTCTAGTTATATTTTAAACTAACTTTTTGTTAATATGATGTGAATATACAGAAGTGTATGAAAATTAGTGAAAATCTATCCTTTGCAGTTGACATAATGTACGCACATATATAGTTTTATATTGAAACAACAATTTCAAAATATCAATGTGAATTAATACATGTAACACATATTTTCTTATGAAAATAATAAATTAATTAATTCAATAATGTGGTATGTAATATGATGTTATGCCTGAGCACATTTCATTCATCTTTAACTAATATTTAAAATATTTTCTTTTATTAGGTGTTACTTTTGCAAGAAAACACTTGTAAACAATGTTAATGCAATCTGTAGGAGAACGTCTACTGTTGCGAATGTTGATAAAAACGCCAACGAATTTGTGCTCTTGGGTCGAAAATATGCGACGGACAATTGGACAAATGTCACTCCAAGCATTGTAGCTAAATTAGAAAGAAACTTGCATGTTAAGCAATACCATCCACTGTCACTCTTACGTCAGCGCATTGTAAACTATTTTTATGGACAGTTTCGCGGTAAAAGCGGAACACCGTCCTTTAGTATATATGATAATATATGTCCTATAGTGACAGTTGCTCAAAATTTCGACTCCCTTCTTGTACCGAAAGATCATCCAAGTAGAAAGAAAACTGATTGTTACTTCATAAATCAAGACACATTGCTGAGAGCACATATGACTGCGCATCAAGCGGAATTAATTTCGATGGGATTAAATAATTTTCTTGTCATCGGGGACGTATACAGACGTGATGAAATTGATAGTACGCATTATCCGGTTTTTCACCAGGTTGATGCAGTCAGATTGCGAACATTGGAAGAAATATTTTGCAATGTAAACGATTCTGAAAGTATGAAGCTATTTGAGCATAGAGGAATAGAAAACGCTGAGAAGCAGGGTTGTCATACATTAGAAGTAGTGAAAATAATGGAGCAGGAATTGAAAAATACTTTAATAAGCTTAGCACAAATTATATTTGGCAAAGGTATTTATTTAATATTTCTGAACAATATACACATAAGAGAATACGTACTTAATTTCCAAATTAAAAATTAATACTTCTTTGCCATTATAATAAAAATGAGAAACTTGAAATTGAGATCGAAAAATATTTTTTGTTAATAGAGGTGCAATGCCGATGGGTTGACCAATATTTTCCATTCACTCATCCATCATGGGAGTTGGAAGTATTCTATAATGACAAATGGCTCGAAATACTAGGCTGTGGCATTATGCGCCAAGAGATTCTCCAGAAATCCGGTGCCGTAGATCGGATCGGATGGGCATTTGGGCTTGGTTTGGAACGTTTAGCCATGTGCTTGTATAATATTCCGGATATAAGATTATTTTGGAGTAACGATGCGGGTTTCTTGAATCAGTTTAAAGTAGACAATCCGAATGCACATATACAGTACAAGGTAAGATAAATATTTAAGGAATATCTCGAATATTGTAAGGTGTATTATATCTATACCTTTTAAATAACTTGTATGAATATGTTGAATGTTTTTTATAGCCTATCAGCGTATATCCTCCTTGTACAAACGACTTAAGCTTCTGGTTACCACAAGATGGAAGTTACTCTTCCCAAAATTTTTATGACATAGTTAGAGAGATAGGTGGTGATGTTATTGAACAAATTTTGCTGAAAGATGAATTCACCCATCCAAAAACTAAAAAGACATCCCATTGTTACAGCATAGTATACAGACACATGGAACGTACTTTAACTCAAAAGCAAGTCAATAAGATTCATGATCAAATAGAAAAAACAGTAACTGCTAAACTTAATGTAATTGTTAGATAAAGTTAAGAACAAATTATTTCCCTAACAGAATAGTTCTTGTATCTAGAGGATGAACTCTATGAATAATTTACTTCAAACGATATTATCGATTTTAATAAAATGTGGACATGAATTATATGAGCAATATGAATATTGCAAGTCAGGTTAAGGAATATATTATTTTATTTGCAAATAAATTAATCATAAACGCATTATACATAGTAAATAATAGTCTTCTAAAAACAGCTATTATATTATTTGTGGTATGCTTCATCCACATTAGTGATAACAACGATTACAGGTATGTTCTACATGCTTGCAGTATATACATGAATATAAAACATATTACGTAATCCAGTATTATTATTTATGCGCAACATACATGACTGAGAATATAAATAACAATAAAAGATATATGTTCTTCATAGAAAGGAAGAAATAAAATAAAATTTTTAAGAAGAAGAGGAAAAAATGAATCTTTTGAAAATAAAATCTCAGAGGTTTCTCATATAATGTTAGTGCAAAAAATGCTGTTTAGACTTGGTTGTAAAAATCACAGTTTTGTTTCTGATACTACAGTTCTATCATTTAATTATATTAACTTTCTAATAATTTTTTCAAGTAAAATGCATTTCTCATTACACAGATCAAGATTGCTTGATCCATGCAGATACTTCAAAATTTTACTACATGAAAAATACTATTGTGCTCAATTGGAACACATTCAATTCGTATTTTAAGAATAAGCGATAAAGATCAAATATATAAATACCGTATTATATGTATATATATTTAAATATACTGAAATGGAAGATGCAAATTTGACAATGCATTCAAAAATATAAATAAGATGGACAAAAAAGAAATATAAAGAAAAAATTGATATAAAAAAAGTCATGTAATAAACCTAAAGCAAAGATGCATAGTAAATAAGCTTCCAGGAAAAATTAATTATACGTAACATTATAAAGTTGTCTCAGTTCTAGTTATAACAATTTTAATCCAATCCCTATCTTTTTTTTTAAGTCAGTGAAATATAATACAAGAAAATTTTGATCTTATCTTGCAGTATAAGCATTTTCATTGGGACCAATGTTACAAAAATCGTTCGGTTGTTACAAAAATAGTTGGTTGATATAAAAATGTGTTCACGTACGACTTTTTATTTTATTAAAAATTAATTTAAGCAATATTATTATATTAATCGGATTGGATTAGGAGTATTACAACGAAAGAAAATTTGTATATGTCCTTTCTTTGTTATTAATATGTCAAGTTGGTTTTATCCTATCTTGTCATTCATATATAGATCAACTTTCGCGTAAACTTTAAGATAATTTAGTGTAACTAGGAGGTGAAAACTTCTTCCTCAAAAACTTCAAAATGTACAGTGGCATGCAAGAAACTAATGTTATCACCAATACTTTCCATAAGAAGTCTGTTGTCTTAATAAATTCAGCATCTGTGTAAAATAATAAGAAAAAAGTCATTAATGAGGTGAATTTATATGTAATTATCTTTTTTTGTATATTTAATTATATTTAATTATCTTTATTTATATTTAATTATCTTTTGTTATCAAGTGCTGCAAACTTACCAAAATAATCTTTGAGAACGACCAAAGACAATAAATAAAGCGCTAGAGAGAAAATTTCTGCAAGTATCATTATATGATGCCAGGTTCTAATGGTCAAAGCAACCATTATTAACTCCGTCAAAACTAGCGCCGAAAAACTGATAGCTACTATATGAATAAATTCATCCTCGAACATTATAAGTGCACCATACATAATTACTCCTCCTGAAATAAAACAGAAAATATATTTTTCATTTTTGTATGTATTATATATATATATATATATATATGTTATTTAGATTTAATTAAAGCTATATACCTTGATATATACTTATCAAAACCCACATAAAAAATGTTTTATATGATAATGAACGGCCTTTACTAAGCTCTTTATAAAGTTCTGGATAGGTAAGCGCCATTTTTCCCGATACATCCTTGTCTAATACCAATGAAAAGACGGGAAACATTGTATATATTGTTGCATATCTATAAAAAAAATTTTATAAACTTTACATAATGGATTTTGATATACAGAATATTCCATTTTAATAAAAACACTGTATATCTCGAAAACTTGACATCATATAAAAGTTACTATTTCCATTAAAATAGGAATACCCTATATATTTTTTAAAACAGTATATATATAAATATACAATATATATAAATATATATCTTATGTATAAAGGAAAATTATGTATTAGGAGGATATAATAAGCTTTAAATTAAATTTTTAACATGTTTGCCAATATTACTTACCCTACCATAAGAAAACCTTGATATAAGGCAACTGAAGACAAATAAAAAACTGCAGAGAATACAGCCTGCATAGTTGAAATTATCAGACCACGATGTATGACAAATTGACTTAATGCAGCCGATCGTTTGTAACTTCTTCTACCGTGGACTAGTAATAAATTAGCAAGATGATTAAACTGAGAAATTGAAAAATCTGCAGCTAGCGATGCTTGTCTTCCCTCAAGACCTTCGAGACCAATTCCTATAAGCAAATATATACAATAATAATATATGGGGAGATGTAATATATATGATTGGATTATCTAAGAGAATTTAAATACAAACACACATACCGGCATCTGCAGCTTGTATCATGGAGACATCATTACCACCATCGCCAACGGCTGCTGTTCTCTTGCCAGTATGTCTTTGTATAAGACTGACAACTTCGGCTTTCTGAGTGGGAGAGCACCGGCAGCAAACGACAGCGGGTGAGCCACAAGCAAGTTCAAGAAATTCCTGCTCATAATATTGCAAGCACACCTCCAGGGAATCACCGCTGATAACTAAGGCACAATCTTGCTTCTTGCGAAATGTATTCAGCTCCAAGTGGGCATCAGTGCGCGTCACGACAGATTTGAAAACATGCAATCCTTGAGCGCGCGAAACTAAACACGATGATTTTGCTATACACGTTGCAGTTTCTAGCTTGTCGCCGGTCAACATCCATATTTTGATTCCAGCGTTTCTCAAGAGTTCCAATGTAGGCCTCACTCTGTCTTGTAATCTATCCTCAACGCCGGTAACGCATAACAGTTCCATTTCCCTTTCAAGACTCTCCACCACCGCAACAACTCTCGATACACGATCGCTGACGCTCATTCTTGCCGCATTATATCTATAATACATAATGCCGATAATTGTGATAGTTGTCATTTATATTTTCATTCTCTCATCAATGTAAATGTAATATTCATAATAATATGCGTGTTACCTTGCTTCAAAATCTAGATACTGATCTTCGGTCAAATTTTTTTTGGCCACAACTAATGTTCTGAGACCCTCGCGTGCCATGTTTTCACATACTTCTTCCAGCCAATCGTTATACTGTACAATACCGGACATTACGACATCAGCACCCTTCAAGTAAAATACGATCTCGGAGCTGGATTCTTCCCTCACGATTATTCCCATTCGCTTGGTTTCTGACGTAAAAGGGAATATTTGCAGTATGGTGTAATTCAATATTTGACCATTCAAAGTCTTCAACTGCATCGAATTTAGGTCTCGTTTGGCCAGAGCCAATCCTATTTCTTCTGTCCATTTCACCAGAGCCACTTCGTCTGGACTAGAAGCTTGATAATTACGTTTCTGTTCAGGTGGATAGTAATGTTGATCCGCTTCTGTTTGACTGAAACATCAAAATTTCATTACTGGTCAAGGATATCCTAGAGCTCTCACAATTTGCTAACGAGAGAGCAATACCTTTGAATGGAACCTGTATCTCCAGTTTCCACTGTATGCACACTCACTGAATCCAAATTCGAAGATTTGCTTATCTCATCATATACCGGAGTTACGTTATGGCACAGTGCTAGAGCGTGCACGGCATCGTAGATTCGTGTATTCTCCGACCTTCGCACTTTTCCGCTATGCAAGGACAGCACCGGTCTCACCGGGGAATTCTCCGAATCAATCGGATAATAAGTCTTCAATACCGACGTCACTTCGTCGAATGTTTCCTGACTGTAAGATATGGTGCCCAAATGCAACTTCTTGAACACCATTTTATTCTGTGTCAACGTTCCGGTCTTATCACTCAGCAAATACGATATGCGTCCCAGTTCTTCAGGAATAGTGGTTGTTCTCACCACTGTACCAGCAATATCCTTATCTCTTTGTATACACCAGGCGTAAAACGCCTTGCCCATGTCCAGATTTACTCTTAAACTGATTGGTATAATGTAAGAAAATAGTAGGACAAAACGAAACATATAACGGTACCATGGTCCATTGAATCCTTTCAAACACATCATTACAAGTGCGAGTCCTATTACTGCACAAAATAGTACCTGCCGAAATATAATCAATAGATATACCAATGTTTTAGTATATCGTATATTAACATTTTGATGTATAATTTCTACATGTGCAATACCTTTGTCAACTGATTGATTTCTTGATCGAGCAAACCAACTTTTGATCTAATTTCTGAATGATTCATTAGAGATCGCGTTTCCTGACCAGTGTAAACAACAATACCAAGAGCAGAGCCTGATGCCACAGCTGTATTAGCCCATAATGTGTTGTCCACACCCAAGCTTTCTTCACTGCTATATCCATCGTACTAAGAATAGAGTAAATAATCATATAAAAAAAAATATTGAAAGAGATTTTAGAAGAGATGCAAGAAAATTAAATTCCTACTCTTGAAAAAGTGCCAATAAAGCTATGTATATCCTTTTGAGGTTTTTCAACATATAAACTGGCTTTAATATCAAACAATTGAGAATTGTTTTCTAGTTTTTGCGTTGCAGGCACTGCTAATCTCAATTTCCAATCCGTTTCTCCATCCAGTTGATCAGTTCGTACAAAACATGCGCCAGATTTTTCTGTTGTGCGTAATAATACCAAATCAGCTGGTACTCTCTGGCCCTTCTCTACTATTACCTTGTAGAAAAGAAAAGCACAATTTATTTATATATAACTCTTATTACGTAAGAAAAAATATAAAATTAAGATAAGACTGACTACTAAAGAGAAATACTTTGGTGCGACTTACCAAGTCACCTACTCGTAATTTGGAACTTGGTACTAATTCTGGCGTATCAAAACCTTTTACTAATCTATAATACTTTTGTGCATTAACTTCTTTGTCTCTTTTATATCTTCTAAAATCATCGACAGCTTCGCGGAAAATTGTTACAGTTAAAACAAAGCACAATGGTCCCCAATATGTATACAAATATCCTATTCTTATGTCTGGTATGAATTGAGATATAGCCATAAGCAGAAAATATAAATTCAAAAAAAATTTAAACTGCTGAAAAAGAACCTGTAAAATAGAAATATGATTATTATTGACTGCACTGTTTTATCCAATTTTTAAAAAGATACAAAAATTATCAATTATCGTTTTTAATGAGAAAAACATACCAAAGGCAAAAAAGTTACAACATTGTATTTTTGATTTCTTATTACATTGGTGGGAAATTTTTCGTGCATAGGTTGCCCAATATGGATAACCCTGGCTCTTAATTCCCGTTCTCTGCAACATCTCCTCCACATCCAAGTACAACATCTGCAATCGTGAGAAACAATCCCAAATTAACAAAATTATGTTTAAAATTGACAAAATAAAATTTCTTTTTGAAAAAATTCTTATCCTTCCTATCATATGTTTATTATTATCTGAAATACTGCTTGCAAAAATATTATATTCCGTAAAATTTAATTTGCGATGTGATATAATTAATAATCAGGCACACTACAATGGATTTTAATTATTAAAGTTTGATGAGCATAAACAACTATGTATCGTCTGAAGCATTGATCGAACCGAGCTGCATTCGCGCGCATCGACTGTGACATATATCTATCTAAGAAATCTGTTTTTGCAAATGGAAAATCCACGATAGAGCGAGGATTCTTGCGTTACGGAAAATACAGCAGAACAACGGGCCGAGCATAAAATCGAGGCCACGCTTTTTAGTCGAGATAAGGTATATGCGTCACCTCGACCAAGAACTGTCATTCCGAGGCTTGGATATTAACGGAATGTCCTCCTTGGACATCCTTATAACGTTGCTTTGCGTCTCCATTTAGATTATTTTCCTCATTTGAGGGCAAGATTGCACTGGCGCAATTTCGCCCACTTTCTTCACACACGACACAGAAATTATTATATATTGTATGATAAGTCTCGTCAATTTATTATCAAGACACTAACAATATTATGACATCACGCGTCGCAGAATACAGGATTGCAAGATGCGTCTAACGCAGAAATGTCAAACAAACTGGATCATTCGCGATTGGTTGAACTCTGTCGATAAAACAGTGTCCAGCCAATAAGCGACCGCGTAAAAATAGCTCGTTTTTATATCCCGTCAACGGCAACTTTCTATAGACATATATATCTATGACCTTTGCATAACGGCACAATTTGAAAAATATTAACGAGCAAGAGCATCAGAGTTTTTTTCGGACATCATTATGGAAATTCTTCAGGTATGTATATATGTACAAGAAATAATTGATTTCAAGGAAAATAATTGTTTTTAGCTAATGTTAAAAATTGAATTCAATAAGTTTTATGTTGCTACTAAAGGGATTTAAATGTAATATTGTCCTAACTAGAAATGTTTCGAAAAAGTTGTGATAATCGCGATTAAAAGAGGCAAAGAAAAAAACATTGGTTTGTCCGAAAAAGCTCTTCTTTGTAAGAAAACTTGAATTTTTTATTTACAGGACATCGAAAACTCACGAAATAATTTTACATAATTAAAAACGGTAATTATATTACTTTCTTATTAAGAGGTTGCGAATATATAGTCAAAAAATTGAAATTTACGGTAGATTCCATAACATTGAAAAATAACGTTCTCTTTTCTTTCCAATCTAATGTTAGTTAGGTGAACATACTTAATACGCACAATACGTTTTATATAAACGCTAACAGAACATATCAATCAGAAGCTACGTAAGCAAAATGTCGCACTCGAGCGATACCGCGATAAGGGGTCAAACGTGAGGGCCGAATACAATATTTCGAGCACGCGTAACGCGTAGCTTTCGATCGATCGCATTTTACCATCATGTTAGATTATAAGCTCCGTTGTTTCATTGATTTACGGTATATAGCGAACAATAGATGCATGTTTTTTATGCAATTACTTATGTTTTCGAATCAATTTTGTTAGCAAGAGATGATTATAGCGCGTTTTCTCGCTTCTCTTATTTCAATCGAGCAACACGAACGTTAGCTGAGCTTAATTAAATTAGAAATAAATGATATGCTGTTTATAATCGATAAATGATAGAAACATGTGCCGCGCAAAATTTTATTAAACTAAAATTTATTTCGAATTTTAAATGCCAAATAATATCGCGTGCTTTAATACTATAAATAAAAATATAATTTTTTAAATAACATAAATAAATAACAGATTTTTAGAAAATACGTGACACATTGCACAGTATATTTCATGCATCTAAATATATTAAATAATAAATACTTGTAGCCGATATACAAAAAAATTTATTTGTTATAGAATGTCTGAAACTATAAAAAAATTTAAGATTTATATGTAATAAGCAAAATTTTCAGGGACATTTTTCCAATCTATAAAATAAGAAAAATGATAAAAAGATTTATTATGATTTATATTTGGATGCATGAAATATATTGTGCAGGGTGTCATGTATTTTCTAAAAATCTATTATTATTCATAGTAGCGATATTAATTGGCATTTAAAATCTATCATGATTATTTCTAATTCTTATGGAATATTTCAGGTGTGTGATGTCACGCGTTCCGAAACACCTTGTAGACAAGCCGCAACTCACCCGCAGAGGCAGTTTCCCAGGTACTTGGAGCAATCCTTGATGCGCCGTCGCCTCGACGTCAGTTGCCTGATGCTGTCCTCGGACGGCTGCAGCAAGTAATCCGTCTCGTCGTCGTCCATTTCAAAGTCCCGCTCGTCAGAGCTTAGCCGCAACGGCATCTCCTCCAGCCTCATGGCGGTGTCGAGGCGGCGGCGCGCTTTCGCGTTGCTCGTTTTTGTGTTTTTTTTTTCCGCGGCACCCACGATCTACCTTTATCGATGGTCGCCTCCCCGGTCCCCGGCTCTCTTTATCACTCTCTCTCTCTCTCTTTCTTTCAGTCTCGTGGCGGCGAGAGGATGAGACGCGCGGTTAACCGATGATGCAAATTAATCGTCGTCTCGCGCGACCAACCGCCGCCGCGGCACGATGTCCGCGGCACATATCTTATCATCCTCTCGATCCTCGGCTGAATCCTATCTCGGTGATCACAATATCGAGATTACACTATCGTCCACTGTCAAATGTTTGGGCTGGCGTGACGAGTTCGCGATCACGACGACGACGACGGCGACAAGACGTCGTCGAGAGTTCGCTTATTTACCACACACACACATACACACACATGTATCACCAGGTTGTATACGCGTCACGGCGGTTCCGTGAGGCGCGATCGAAAAACATGGGGAAGATTATAAATGTTAAACATTTCCGAGGCATTCCCTCATATGTAAGCGATAAGAACAAAGATCAATGTATATTTTATTGTTATCGCATTGGCGTGAGAATCGCCGCATTCTTTCCGTATACGGCAAAGCGCCGCGTGTCGCCATCTTGCTCGCTCAGCTGATCGTGCTGTCATGGTATGGTTACATCATGCGCGCCGTCTGCTACGACTTTCTGGGCGCGCTGATTAGAATAATCTCTAGAAATCCTTAGAATTATTACATGCATGTACAGGATGTTTCTGGTGCGTGGCTTTTAATTTTAACAACATATTCTTTGATTAATTCTTTATTGACTTTAGGCGAATTATCTAACAATAGTCTTTAATTATTTATTTTATTTAATATTTTCTCTGATTATATTGATCATATTATTTATAGAAAGGATGCATTATTATGCTATATTAGTTAATCTTAATCTGATATTTTACGGCTAATGACTCGATTGCACTTTTCAACGATTTATCTTGCGATGTTGCTTTGAGTTGCAATTGTTGGAAAATTTGCTCGCATATAGATCGCTCATTTTTTGTCATAAAACATATCGTCAGATCGAATCTGTTACATGTGCTTAGTATATTGAGAATTTCTGTAATCGATGTTACATCGTCCATATCCGATAAATATTGTAGACACACATCCATAAAATCACTGAAAAAAGATGCAGGTATCTCTACTCGAAAAATATAATTCCGCAAATTGTTCCTGTAAAAAAAAATGTTATTAATGTAACATTCATCGTTATACATTCCATGATTCTTACTTTAGATTCCATATATAAGTGAATTTTTCAGAATGGTCTGTAATTGTTCTCCAGGATTGTACAAAATCTTCGTACGTTTCTGGAGACTTCTTTGTAATATTTCTGTTACTTTCTTGATCGCATTTCGATTTTCCTACAGTAGATATAATCGAGTTATGAGATCCAGTAACATTAATCATGGGATTCCATTGCACTCCAATTTTAGGTTTCATATCATTACGATCCAAAGGTTTTAAGTGAGCACCATTCACCTTTTATATAATTATAATTTTAGTAAAAAAGTAAACACATTTTTGTGATTTTTGATTATATATTTAAAAAAATAATAGTTATGTATAAAAAAACTATGATACAATCATATAAAATCAAAATTTACTGATATATTTATAAATTCTTAAAAATTATTTAGAGAAAACTATGTCTTTTTTTATTATACATATAAGTAAAATTAATTACCATCTGTCTGAAATGCTCATATGTCGGTACTCCTTGTTCAACAGCTCGGATTTTAGCATCGTTTTGTAACTTATACAATTCATCGGCTGTGAGAGCCGCGTGAAGTTCTTCTTCTAAACATTTATAATCTATTGGAGTCTTTAATGCACTCATTGTCACTGTATGTACATTTTCTTGTCTTCCAGTACATTTTTCATCTAAGCTCATTCGAGCCTTAAATAATCTGACATGATAGCACAACTGTTTGTTGTCATAGAAACGCTAGTACTAGCTTGATTACTTTATTGATTAGAAATTTATTTGTATTGTAGGAATTTTTTTATAACGATCTTTTTATTTATTTATAATTCACATAAAGTTGCGTAATTCTAACATAGCTAAAAATTAAATTAATCAATTAATACTTGTAAAAAAGTAAAATATGCAAACATACATCAATTAAGAATAAATAAAATGTTTATTATTTATTTTATTTATCTAGTAATAATAGCTTCCGTTTCAGATAAAACTTTCTCCTTTGGCATTTTGTTTTGTCTTTTCTTTACTAATCTATCATGGGTTCTTTTCATCTCGAGTATTTCTTTCATTTCCTCCTTGTCTTCCTCCTAAAATCGATATTGTTATCTCATAGAAAGTTTATTATTAAAACATATATTTTTATATGCTCACAGTTTGATTTAATCGGAGAACCAACGCTTTACGACCGTCAGACATGGGCTGAGAATAATCCATCAATTTTTTTAATCTTTCAGCGGGACTTACGCCTCTTTCCACGACCAAGACTATGCGCGCCCACTAACATGTACGAGACAAATTCAACGAATGGAAGTTAATGTGACATCCTACTTTAATACATCGTATAAACGAACGACGTACGTACTTGTCTCTGCCACTCATTTCTGGTTTCAGCGATCTTCTGGTAAGTGTTGCCCATCATAGCAATCAACATGTTTACGAGCAGGATTGCCACGATCGCCATATATAACACAAACAGCAGCTGCAACAATAATTATTGCTGTAATACTACCCAATCAACTACTGAATGCATTTAACAGTCTTTTGCTTGACGCATATGCATATGTGAATCATCCATTACATGAGAAAATTAGGTGAATTATTTAATTGTTGTTGAAATATGCAGTAAACGCCACATTATTACCAATAATATCAATTATTATCATAATTAATATATAAAGTGAGATATAAATCGACGGCAATACGCAGATGATCGCAATTGTAAATATTTTATATATTTTTAAAAATTTAATATTCTGTAACGAAAATACCTTAGCTTCGAATTCATGCTCGGTTCTGTCAAACGCGCCATAGTAATCGCCGAAATTTGTCATGCTCATCAGAAACATCGCCATAACGCTTTCCATTGGCGATGGCATCGGATTCGTTATCGAATCGTCAACTCCTTCCGGAGTGTTCGGATTGTCAAACGACAAAAATATGATATAATACGCTGTAAAAAGATTAGTATAATATTGATATGTTGCTAATCCCGAATACATGCAAAACGTTGTGTAAAAACATATAAGATGATATTTCGAATATCTATAAAATCTGGGCATTAAATATAACATAATAATCGATTAATAAATCGATCGCTACGAATGTGACGTATCGATCAAGATATTTTATTGTGACGATAGATATTTCTGAGTGAACAGGTATTCTATTCAAGTCGCGGCTGCGTTGTACTATGATTAACCGTGATGGTGAAAAGTGAAACACAATGGCACAGTATGTAGCTACGGTATTCCGTTCCTGGTTGCATAACGTGTCGCACCATTTCTCGTAACCTTCTCTGTATTGCTTTTTTCTGTACGGTGTTCTTCGCTATTGTACGAGAAACCTTCGGCGACGGTGATATATGTCAATGTCGCGTATGTCGTAAAATCATCGATTAGATCATATATCGTATGCATGTCGCAATGCCGTTATTTCTGCGGTTAATTAATAATTGTTGGGAATCAATAGAAAATCAGGCATTAAGATCTTAAGGAAATGGAACGCCGTATCGGTGTATCGAGCGTATCTTATGCATTACATGCATCACATTATGTGCCATTATGTCTTTTTAACTTTGATTATCAATTGTGATAATTGGCAACAAGGTTGATCCCTCTATTCTACTCTAGGCTTCATTCATGAAGATAAAGGAATGCGACCGTCATACAAAAGGTGACATTAAAAGAATATTAAATCAGTATAAAATTTTCTTGCAACGCGCTGAGATCATTACCTTGAGAGAATCCCATTACGAAGACGAGATAAATAGAGACGAATCTGAGGAGATCGCCCGTAATCATTCTGTAAATCATCACGACAAACGGTCCGACTGTTTTGAACCCTCGACAGAAAAATAAAAAATACGGCGCCGTCGTTAGCATCACTACAACTGCCAGCATGTCTTCGACCTCATCGGCGCAGGAAAATCTTAGAACCGGAAACGACATTAAGATACAGCACGAGAACAGAAACATCACGCGCGACGGCGCCGTCATCTAAAAATCGGGTCACATATTAACATGTGTTACAAGTATTTCATCATTATTCAGTAGTTTAGAAAATACTATTTGATTTTTTTATGATCAGTTAGAAAATTTTTGATTCAAAATTAAATTTTATTATTAAAGTAAAGACACAATTCTTAATTTTCAAGATTAGCAATTTTATTTTTATTATTTTTTAAAATTTTGTCTATCTTTTTGTCTCTCCTTTCTTGTGGATTGAGAAACATATGTTGAGTAATATTTTAATTGATTCTTACGAGATTTTCAATGAACATGTTAAGACCTAAAAATCTTGCTTCTCGTAATGCAGCCACGATATAAAGCACTGCCGCAACATACATTACAACTTCCGCAATTAGACGAATCTTTGTGCTTATTGTTGTCAGTTGCATTAGTCTGCATTCCTCCGTAAGATCGTTCCACCTATTCAAGCATATAATATTACCGTGAAAGATAAAAGATCTTGCCATAAAAAGTATTTTATGATATCAGAAATACATATATCCAAGAATCTACAGATTTTTTCAATATTTTAAACTTTATTCTAAAGCTTAAAATATTGTTTTCTTATTATTATACATATATTAATAACAATGTTATTAACATCTATATTAATTGTATTATTTTATAACAGCGTTGTGATTTTTGTGATATTATATCTTACCATTTGTTGTGATGATTAAATTTTTCTGGTAGTGTGATATCTTCGATGATCGTCTTGGCGGTTGAGTTAGCATCGATTGTAACAGTTTTGCTATTCGTATTCGTGAAATAGTCCGACCCGTTTTGAGGATTATCAGTATACCACGGTGTATGAATGATAGCTTCGTCAAAGGAACTCAGGAGGCCCTCATTGTTGCTCAGCGTTAAAAGTAAAATTCTTAGGGCCGACGTAATATTCGACGTCACTTGTAGCTGGATCTTCTCCAATGACTCTTGCGTTACGTTTAAGGATGATTTGAGATTCGAAGTGAAAGCCGCTGTGAAACTGTTTGTAATTAGTTTCGATAGATCCGAATTTTGGAGTGACTTGAGAATCGCAGATTCCATCGTCGTTATGTTGAACGAATTCGTGTTCGTCAATGTATCATTCGCGTTTTCGTCTGTTTGCGGACCAGGACGAAGGGTGAAACTAATCAGCGACAGTACAAAATAGAAGTAGAAGAGAATGAACTGACGGTAGAATCTAAAAATTACAATCTTTCGTTATATTTTATAAATATATAATTTTTTCATGCCTTATAATTATCTTTTATATTAAATTGAACAATAGTTTTCTGCATATTATTTTTTTTTATAAAAATAAAATAAAGGTAGAAAATTACATTTTTTATACATTAAAGTAAAAGATTATATATTTTGTGTAAACACACACCGGAATTTAACAAAAGTGTTCCACTTGGCGTTTAGGAGATCAATTAGGACGCCGTCCATTAACTCTAAATGTTCATCTTTTTCCTACAATTATTATAAAATGTTCTGCGTAGAATGTGAGAATTTTAAAGGAAAAAAATTATAGTAATTTATTCGCTTACACCAAAAACAACTAAATTTAGAGCAGAATTGTTATTGATCGTTCCTGTATTAACGTCGATCGTATCTATTTGCGATAAAGGATATGCTGCGCAAGTTATGCTACCGATCTGCCAGTATATCTCTCTCTCAATATTCAGAATGTGAAAGAACATCTCTATCCTAGCCAGCTTAGCTGACAAAGTCAGTGGAGTCAGATGTTGGACATTTCTTAAGTCTAGAGAAGCTCCCACTTCATAGGCCATATCGAATGTAGTCTGTGAAATTAAATTGAAGAGCAGACATATAAAAAATATAAATGCCATATTTTTAAAATGATTTCATAAGTGCATTTTTGTACTATTTAATTAAAGGCAAAGTAGCTTGCCTTGATATTTTTTTCTGGCAAGCATTAGTAATTAAATTAATTATTTAAGCAGTATCTTCTACAGATGAATATAAAGATTGAAAGTATAATACTCGCCAATTTTTCATATATCACCAACATATGCAAAACAGTGTTCCCATTCGTATCCTGCTTATCCGGATCCGCGCCTCTGGCGAGTATAAGTCTGTAGCATTCTTCCTGACCAAGGCATGCGGCAAAGCTCAAGGGATATTCTCCCCAATACACGTATCTACAAACGTATAATGATAAAAAAATAGATCGTCTTCGTGAGGGTTTTTATCAAATTAACCGTATATGTATTATGTTCTTGACATCGCGCTTGACAAGATTCATTAAAATCTCTGATGGAAGAACTTCTTGATAATTAATCTGTCTCAAGGAATTTAACTCGGTATAATAATAGGTCACGTTTAAGCTTGAAATCGCTGAAAACTAACGTCGTCTAAACTATAAACGATGTGTTAGTAATGAGAATGGAATTTTTCTGCTCCATCGTTAAACGAGAGATGAATCGTAACATCGTTTTCTTAAAAAACGCTATCGCCCGTTATACACACCCGTTATAATTGGTTTCTGGTGTGACACACACCCACTCGTGGTCTTGACTATCATATCTCGATGCTTTCTGATCTTCCGGGCACATAAAATTACCGAAGCATCTCTCGTGGATAATGCATGGATCATCCGCGCCGCTGTCGAGAAGGAACTTGACCATCGACGGATCCTCGTTCACAATAGCAATATGTAATACATTTTCTCCTAAATGCAAAGCGCATTGTACAAAATAATTATTATAAAGCTAAGATAATTGTCGAAGGGATACAGACATCTTGATTTTTTTCTTATCATGAATTTAAAAAAATATGTTATATTTAATTTTGATTTTTAGCAGTATGTGTTTGGATTACTTATATTTCTAATCACTGTAATAATGTTGTATGTGACTATGCGACGGATTTACGCGACCTGAATTCAAAAGAATTTCTCGATTAAAAAATAACGAAAGCCGCGAGAGTCTCTGAAGGAATATGAATGGTTTACCTTGGAAATGCTAATGTTTCATTACGCAAGAGATATGCTATGAATAGGTATTTTATTCAGCACACTTGTCGGGGAGTTTATCGGCAACGGATTGTCTAATCTATATTCTTCCTCACAAAGGAGAGATATAATGAGAGTTTTAATTGACAACATTTAAAATTCAATCTCCAATTGACGCTTATTATATGCATTTCGTAACAGCTCACAGGAACTCGAACTTACCGTAATATTCGTCAGATAGATAAATATCGTTTATAAGCTTCGGATAGAAACGTAGCAGTCTTTTTGCCAAATCGGCGTGGAGGGCAGTAGCATTTAACATACACAAATGTAAAATAGTTTCGCCGACAGCTCCTCTCTCACTCAAATTCCAGCACACTAATCTATATTTGCTTTTATCTGTCAAGAATTTAACATTTATTTATTGCATAAAAGATCATTTTATAGTGCACAATTTTTTGTGAGTCATAATTTAAGTAGCAAGTAAAAATATATTTTTACAATAATTTATCTATATACTATAAAATTTGATTAAATTTTATAATGTTACCTATCTTAGTTTCATCAACTTCTTCATCGCCCATATCTTTATCTATATCATAATCCGCTGGATTTTCCATAGCTTTTAATGGTGGTAGCTATTCAACATGAAACGAAAATTGTTAAAAGCACTAATATTGCAAAATCGAGAGAGTAGCGAAATCAATTGTCTACCATTTTGTGCCGCGGACGATCCTTATTTCGTAAGAGGACCAATTTATCTATAGGTATCCATTTGCCTTCTCCTTTATTGTACAAAAAGGGCTCGACTTTTGTTCTCATCGCATGATCTAATTCTGCAAACTGTTTTGTTTGAGTGGCTCTTTTCATCATATCAACTAACAAACCACCGCCTGTAACCGATAAAATAAATATTCGATTTCAGTGATCTTCTAATAATGAGGAGAATGATGAAAAAATGAAGTAAAAATACAACTTTTTAAACTATTTATTTTATTCCATGAATCAGGAATATCGCGAAAGAAAATGGCAAGCGTGGGTGTTCTTGCGTGAAAATCGTGCGAAAATTCTCAACTGTGCTTCAGACGTCGAAGTCCGCGATGATTCGCGGTCACGTCAACACAACGTCATCGCGCGATGTAAAATTAAATCCACGGGCGGCACGTGGACGTACGTTGCGTCAGGACTGCAAGTATTTGGATTGTCGAGTGCTTGTCCGAGGAACCATATATCGAGCATTAGCACTTTAATCATACGACTTCGGAGTGATCGATGCAATGACTCATGGATCAATAAAACGGGCTCGCAATCGCGATTCGTTTCGATTAACGTTAATTCCGCGTGAGACGCATCTCGAACATTCGTGACGGCATTTCTATTTTCGCGATCGAAAAGTGCATGGCCTCCACTTGCGGACTAAAAACAGCTGTAGCCGTAGCGATTACGTTGCTGTCCGTCTAATTAGATCCGCAACCTGTCAACTCGTGATGTCAGACGACGCAAATGTCGCGAATGTTACGAGGGGAATTTGCGAGGCGCCGAAAATTGTCGGCGTCTGTCTGAAGTCTTGTTTTTTTTCTGCTTACACAATACATTGCGTAATTATTATTGCAACAATTTGGTTCATTTTTCATTGATACATACATAAATATATTCTGTAGTATTTTTAAAGAAATTATATTTGATACATTATAATAAGGAAAGAAAGATAATTATAATTCTTTTATTTTATTTGATTTACTGTCCTAATCAAATTATTATTCAATCATTTGATAATATATTATTACGTGATATTCAAGTTTCTATCATTCTATAATAATCCAAAAATTCGTGATTTACATGTCAATTGATTTGGACATTTAGATTAAAAATGAAACAATCTTATATACTATATAAAACATGAGAAAATCATATTTGAATATTCTAAACTATATAATGCCATATCTATACATCATAATTTTTTAAAGAAACACAATAATCGAGGAAAATATCTTTTCTAATCCGAAGAATATTCTCTAATAACATATATTAAAAAAACTAAAAGCAAAAAATAGAAAATGCAACATAGTTTCTTCCTCGTTTTCCTAGAAAATTCATGACTCTGATTTATGAAATTCTTGCGATCGATTCTACTGCACTAAAAATAGGAGATTCACTGGACCCTCATCTCGTTCTAACGTAGTCGGCACATCAAAGTACATACATACAACGCCATCTTGCACGATATGGCACAAATATTGCATGCACCGTCGCGGCAATTGCTGGCGCAAGTCTGCGGGAAGAGCAAACGGTCGGGATATTGCCGTCACCGCCGACGTTGTGTCAGTGGTTGGACGTGACACTGTGCGGCGTGCATCATGGCGCAGTGGAGGCAAGAGACAATATTGAAGCTGATCGGTGCGTATCACGCGAGAAAGCTCCTCTGGGACCACAACACGTCCGACTACACCGATCGTAACAAAAGAATCCACGCATGGAAAGAAATCGCTGATGAGGTGCGATCATAATCACGAGATTATAGCTAACACAAATGACTGCTGCATATTATTTTTATTTTTAATTAATATATACACACATACACGTATAACAAAAAATTGTGTTTAATTTTTCCGTAGCGCTCCCGTCCGTTTTCCGGTAAAATTGTAAAAATTGTTGCCGCAATTTATACGAAGATCGGCGCGGATGTTTAGAAATATTAATTTTTTTTTAACGTGTCTCTCATTTTCGGAAGATTTAATTCTTTATATTTGGCTATAGGTTGTGTGGGAATAATTTTTTTTTTTTTGTACGACACTTCTCGTTTTCGAAATATCAATTTTGAAAATTAAAACTGTTGAAACTATTGGCCTTTCTGTTGAATGCAAAGCTGTGCTCTTTTAATAACAGATTCATGAATTTTTGAAACAAGCTATGACATTACCACAAACATAAAGACGAACAGAAATAGCGATCTATATAGCAAGATCCGTTAGTCGAGAGCACGTTTACTTGATAAATTTTCAAAATCGTTTATTTCAAAAACGAAGCCTTGTACGAAAACAAAATTATTCTAATTATTCTTTTGACTTATTTTGGCACGAAGAATCAACTTGTTCTTGCTTGTATTACGATTTTGCACTCACCATGTATTAATAAAAGAAATACAGCGAAATTAATATCATAAAATTGATAAAATAAATTGCATGTTAATTTTTTTATCTTATAATAATAGTATTAATAATAATAATCTATTTAAAAAAAGCACATATTTATGCTCTTTTATGTATGACACAATATGTAGTATACATGTGTGCACACTGTGCCAGGAACACTTTTGGACGGAGTGAAGAATACTATCTCGAGTATTACACATATATTCCAGATGCACGCGGCGAGTACGCCCAACACTTGCGCAAGCCGTTGCGCAACGCTGGTGCAACAAGCGTACCGGGAAAGCTTTATTGCGTCGATAGCGGAAGGCAATCTTTTGAATAGAAATGCATTTACGTAACGGCCTGCGCAAAATCCACGGTTCATTTATTTACGTTTTATTATATAACGCGCGCTCGAATTAATTTATCATCGAGGCGTATTTTTGCAAAAATGCATCTTATCGCGAGAACTTGTATTGTATCAGCTCGGATGCGATGTGATGACGGTGGAGAGGAAACTGAAGAGCCTGAAGACTCATTTCATGTCGGTTCACAAAGCATACACGAAACGTAGGCTCAAGGCTGATCTGAATCCTGGCAGCGCCGTAATCAAGCCTAAATGGTTCGCTTATGATGCTTTAGCCTTTCTGAATAAAGGACGCTTGGTGCGAATCAATCGGGAAACAGCGAATATGGAGAAGCAGGTGCGCCGAAATTTCACAAGGATTGCTACGATTTATAATGTCAGATATTATAGATATTATATTCATATCAATTTAGTTAATTGATCAGTTAACACAGTGATAATAGCAGTAATAATTATTATAATTAAAACTAGCAATTATAATAATAATTAAAAACAAAAAATTATTATTATACTAAGCATCACAAGTTCTATTTATCATTTACATATAATTCATTCATTGCCGATTTATTCTTTAAATAGAATATATAGAATAATTAGAAGATATTGTCTTTATTTCTCGCAAAGAATTATACGTACGTTTAATTAATTCATATCTATCTCTTTTAGAATTCCGCACCTGTTCCTAATTGGAAACCGCAGGTATACTTTAAATTTTTTTATATTATATATAGCGAAATTATAAATCCTTGAAAAAAAAATGTATATAACGCGTTGCATAATGTACAGGGTGTCTCAAGACTTCTGTCCATCATATAATACGCGCGTCATGTTGAAAACTTTCTTTACATGACTCGTTTGTAGAACACTCGGTCCTGCGATGTCACGACCTTTTTTTCTACAGTTTCAGGAGATTTCGTCATGCCGTGACGAATTCACGGTTTTTGCTGAGCACGTCGCAATTCGGCTGAAAAATATAACGGACGTGCATGCAAGACTTGTCGCACAGCATCAAATAAACAACATCCTGTTCGAGGCCGAAATGGGAAAGTATAACATGCACTCCTCTTTTAATACGGTTAATTCGGAGCTTACGGAGAACTTGGATGAGCCGTCGACATCGAACGAGGAGAAAGTGATGATAAATATCACCTAAGTAATTTGATCAAATCTTCTTCTGTGAATATGTGTATAATTATTATATTATTCTTAAAATTTTTAATAAATCATTGCCACGTGTTCAGATTTTGTATATCGCCCGCGATTTTAGAGCGTGTTTATTACAACAACAATTCGACTTCTCGTTATTTGCCGTGAATAATAACGATCGATAAAAAGTATTGATTTTACGTCGAAGAGTATTCTAAAGATTGCACAAGAAAACGTTTGGCATGTTGCTGAATCTGCTCGCCCAGACATGACTCTATTTATGTGTCTCCGTTTGCGGGCATGTCACAACTTTCCTTGTTATAAGCCGCGAAAGTCGCGTCAAAAGCCAACGCCTAACAAACGTAGCCAACATGCTGACAAAACGAAATGTGCGTCAGAAACCCGCGGTGGCACGTATTTTCAGATGTTTCGTTGTTATTCTTGTTTGAGGATATAAATTAAAATAGTAAAGATAACAACACAGAGAGCATATACAAAGCGCATATATTGATATAAATTAAGTTAACTAAACTAATTATATGTAATTAATTTTTATTTATATATGGTAATTTAAAAAATTCACATTTAATTTTATGAAATGAATAAATCGAAACGCGTTTACTCACTATACATTAATTACATCACTCACCTTTTAAATCGACTAATTTATAAAGCACAATGGACGATGTGTCCGTTTGTTTCTTCACGCCGCTCGTAACATTGCTCTCTGTATTACCCATTGCTTATGGACACTTCACTTTCGACTTTCGTTCAAGTATCTGTAGAAGAGAGAGAATCTTTTACGCGTATCGAATGTGGCACTGTGTACGCGACTGATATCCGCTGAAATTGATAAACGTGTCCATCTAGTTGCCAGGATACCGTAGTCAATTATTGATTAAACAAATAGCTTTAAGTTGAACTTATAATAAAATTCAATTTACGTATATTACATGTTTTTTTATTATTGCTTTATAATTTAACATTATAATCAGACTATTTTTCCTTATCGTAAGAAAGGAATAACCTCGGCGGAAACCTACCTCGAAATAGAAAACCACAAATTTGGCGGCGGAAGGAATTAATTGCTAGACGTTGAGTAATTTCGGTAGGAAATCCTGTTCTTGTCGGTTAATAAAATCCTGCGTCTAAGAATTATGACTTAATTTCGTTGATAACACGAGGGCCCTTTATCATAAATAGATGAAACAATTAATAAATTTATCCAACAGATTAACTAAAATTGTGTAGCGGAAATAATAAAATTGATACGGACCATGCATTAAATAATCCACATTATAAAATTGTGTACTTAAATAATAATAAAAATAAATTTAGTGGAGTAAAATATGCTTTTTATATCGAGATTGATTATATTGCGCAATATGAATAATACTAATTTGATCATTTAAGTATTTGATCGCGCTTTGCGTCAATAATTTGTGCAAGTGTTGTACGCGATAGTTCTGGCATACACTTTTTTTTTAGTAGAATACGAATTAAGGTTGATAGATTTATAAGTTACGGTGAAGATCGTTTGTCTCGTGCCACATACATTATCGTAATCGCTGTCATATTTAGTGTCTAGTTTAATATTGAAGAATGCAAGGATTGCAAGAGACTGCAGATAGCGTAGACACGCTTAAACGATATAATGTTTCATCTATAAATCTATATCATAGCTAAGATTTCCATAAATTAAAGATTCAAGATTATTAGTAGATTACTGAGTCATCTTAAAGAAAGATATTGAGTTTTAAGTTCTTTCTTAAGTCATCTAATTCCTATGGACATTTTTCGCTCGTTTAATATCGATTTATAACGCGCATTGCAGCCGGTTGAAAACCCCACGAATAATTTTCACGCATATCTAAGCAATGATCGTGCTTTGATTTAGACCGGAATGTTTTTAGACGGCAATGCTGCAATTGGTATTACGCGTTAAGCAGTTATAAATACGCTTATGACTGTAGCCGCATTTACACAAGTTAAACTGAGAATCGACTACACGCGGACGTACAATACCTTGATTTCGGCTCAAGCGAACAGGAAATTAGATTCTATTATTGCGTCGACGGTCTCGGACAGTTTACGAAAATGAATTCCTTTTGAATCCGAATGATTTCAATGGGCTAACAATAAGATTCCGATCCACAAGCATCACAAGTTTGCTCTTTCATTCCTTCATTGGTGGTTAAAGTTATTCCATTAAATAAATTTTTTTAAAATTTATAAAGTGTAGCGAGTTTTGATAAAAGTTTATCTAATAAAAAAATTTTATCATTGCCATGGTTAACATTTGACAAAAATGAGCTATTTTTGGCAATTATTTTTTAAAAATATCTCTTATTTTTCATAAAATCTTTGAAGGAGAGTTAGTACTTACAATTAGTTTTTTATGTTACTGAGATATCTCGAAAGAGCAAAATTAAAACGAAAAGGATCGCTTGTGGATCCATGAAGGCCCCGGAGGGATTCGAACCCTCGATCTCCTGTTTACTAGACAGGCGCTTTAACCAACTAAGCCACGGCGCCCGGATGATGGCGTTCTCTTGATAGAAGTATATAACAATATCAAGTGTATAACACACGGTCATCCGGGCATCGTGGCTTAATTGGTTAAAACGCCTGTCTAGTAGTCACATATATATGTATAAAATTTTTTTATATAAAAAAATTAAAGTTAAGAAAGTTATTTTTCTATGTAAAAAGATACATAAATTATTTAACAATTTAATAGTATGTAATATAATATGTATTTATTAGGAAACAGAAAGAAAAAGCGAAAGAGAAAACATGTTCTGTGATGAGTACCTATATTTACTCCAAAAAAATTTATGGAAGGCGCTTTAACCAACTAAGCCACGGCGCCCGGATGATGGCGTTCTCTTGATAGAAGTATATAACAATATCAAGTGTATAACACACGGTCATCCGGGCATCGTGGCTTAATTGGTTAAAACGCCTGTCTAGTAGTCACATATATATGTATAAAATTTTTTTATATAAAAAAATTAAAGTTAAGAAAGTTATTTTTCTATGTAAAAAGATACATAAATTATTTAACAATTTAATAGTATGTAATATAATATGTATTTATTAGGAAACAGAAAGAAAAAGCGAAAGAGAAAACATGTTCTGTGATGAGTACCTATATTTACTCCAAAAAAATTTATGGATACTTAAAAACGGTTCTCTTGTACGCGACCCACATTTTCAAGTGTTAAATTAACTTACAACGAAGAGAAAAAAGTAGGCGATCTATTTGTGAGATTGAAATATATGAACGCGCGTGAATGCTGCAGCTACTTCTTGCCGCTCCGGAACGAGGTGTAAGATAATCAAAGTGAAATATGGGTATGCATGATTAAATAAACGACCGACTGAAAGAAATGAGAATTTGGAGTTGTGTTAGAACTCGATAGAGAGAAACATACGTAACATAAAAAAAGGGCGCCTCACTTCTAGGAATTGAAATTATCGCAATTTTGCGGAATTTTAATTTCAGTCTAACATACGTGCAAAAATAATCTCTATGTTTATTCTTTTACTTTATATATAAAAGACAAAACGCGGCAACTGGTATAAGATTTAATTTTCCGCAATTTTTTAATATAGAACACACAAACAATACTTGGTTGATGTAATAAAATAATTAGTGTAATTCAATGAATATTGAAACAAATATTATTAATTTTAAATTATAAAATTCAAATGGAGTACAAGATATTCATTGATGTACGTATCAAAAGAACAACTTTTCAAGAAATGGCTCGTTGGTCTAGGGGTATGATTCTCGCTTAGGGTGCGAGAGGTCCCGGGTTCAAATCCCGGACGAGCCCGTTTCTTTTTTTTCTTTTATGTTTTAATAATTGTTCAAATTTTTAAATCTCTCTTTTTATATTCTCTTCTTCTCTATTTCTTTCTCTCTCTCTCTCTCTCTCTCTGCGATATACGATTTGTGATATATATTTTTAGCTATATATTTCATGAATGAATATGAGACATAACAGATATCGACATTTACAAAATATCATAAATATATTTTATATTAAGATAGAAAGAGAGAGATTCTACTCATTCATTAAATATTTAAAATACCGATAAAATTAAAGATAGTCACGACGCAATTCTCTTAAATTACATCATTACCGATCGCCTCGGGACAATTTCCATGGATTAACATCTTCCTTCTTCCACTCAATGTCGTTCCGAAACAATGAATAATTAAGGTCAAATAGTCAGTCGTTATAAATAGCTTTGCACGTATCACGCTTTAATCAGCGACGATATAATAGATCGTCGTACACGATATTAATTTTTAATTGCACATGCATTATCCGGCACGTGTCATACCGTTTAACAGATTTCTAATGCGATATTCCACGATTTCTTGCAATCTTATTGCAACTGTGTAAGTCATCTTCTGAAAGAATGCGGATAGAGTTAGCGCTGACAATGAGCTGAACTCTTATTGAACTAGTTAGATTAACGCGATCGATTAGCACGATTAACACTTGATCAATTTATTTACATAGCACTTGTTTGCCGGCATTCTCAGTGAATTTGTCATCGAATTAAGCGTATTATCCGATTGACGGGTTATCGTAATCGTTCACTGATGTGACAATCGTATAAATTTGATAAGCGCTCTGGTACTTCGCATAAATTAAGCATGGTTTAGAAAACTTTTACATTAAAAAAATTACTCATTAATTTTTAGTATTTTGAATCGAAATAAAATAGTATATAGATCACACAAAGTGAAGTAGACGCGCGTGACAAAAATCTATTTTACATTTCGTATACGAATAATTTTCTGTTTTTATTACGAAGAGCATCTTTCTTATATTTGAAAAATGCATCAAATGTTAATACTCGTGCTGACATTTGCAAGCAAGCGTCAGCACGAGTATCAACATTTCAGCCATACATATAAATGTGTATAAAATTATAATAAAACAACAATCTGCAAATTTTCCTCGTTCTCTTAAAGTATTTGCAAACGCATCACATTTATTTTATTCTATTCCTGTACGTTTGAATAAAAGTTAGAATGCTGCACATAAAAATATCACATTATTAAAATTG